GGAAATGCAAACTATCCAACAACACTACCAATTCTGAAAGTTGACAACTATGAGAATTGGTGCAAACAGATGAAAGTCTTATTCAGGTGTCAAGGTCTTTGGGACCTTGTAAAATATAGAGTCGAAGGGCTTGGAGAAAACGCTTCAGAAGAAGAAAAGAAGAAATACATAGAATCTGAGAAGTTGAGTTATAAAGCATTATTTATAATTCATCAATGTATCAGCCCAGACAATTTCGAAAAGGTTAGTGATTTAGAATCTGCAAAAGAAGCTTGAGAAATCCTTAAGAAGTCTTTTGGAGGCGCTGAGAAGGTGAAAGAAGTGAGGTTACAAACTCACAAAAGGACGTACGAACTGCTTCAGATGGAAGACAGTGAAAGCATATCTGATTTCTTCACTAGAGTTACAAAAATAGTAAATCAAATCAAGATATGTGGAGAAACGTTAACAACAAGAGCTGTTGTTTCAAAGATTTTAAGATTTTTGACCCCTAAGTTCGACCACATAAAAGAGGGGAAAGACTTGTTGAAATTGACAAAGGAAGAGCTTCAAGGGACGCTTGAATCTCATGAACAAAGAATGAACGTAAGAGCTGCAGGAAAATCGAAGAGTGATGTGGCCTTGCAGGCACATTCAGCAAAAGAGACCAAAGGCAAAGGAAAGTGTTTCGACAGAGGTAGAGGTGGCTACAACAAATCGAATGGTAGAAGAAACCAAATCGAAAGAAATGTGTCGAATCAAAGAAGATCATACCAAGGCAACCAAAGAGGTGGTGTTGCAAATAGAGGAAGAGGTGGTGGTCGAAAACCTGATAAGAGTCACATTCAATGTTACAATTGTCAGAAGTATAGACATTATGCGAGTGATTGTCTAGAAAAACGAAAGAATCAAGAAAGTGATGCAAAGCTTGCAAAACATGAAGAAGAAGAGATGATGATAATGGTCACAATAAGATATGAAGATAGATTCAAGGACCAATGGTACTTGGACTCAGGATGCTCATCACATATGTCTGGAAGGAAAGACTGGTTTGTCAATATAAAGCCCTCAATGAAAAATATGGTAAAATTTGCAAATGACAATACCCTAGCAGCTGAAGGTATTGGTGATGTTATAATTATGAGGAAAGATGGCAAAAGGTCAGTAATCTCCAATATGTTGTACATACCAGGAATGAAGAGCAATTTGCTTAGTATAGGAAAGTTGGTCGAAAAGAATTATAAAGTGTTAATCGAAGATAAGATGATGAGAGTCGTTGATGCAAATGGGAGATTAATCTTGAAGGGTCCTATGTCTCAGAATCGAACCTTCAAGATTGAACTAAATATGATGGAGCACAAGTGCCTTTCAACTGCAGCTAGCAGAGATGAATGGATATGGAATTACAGACTAGGCCATCTCAAATTCAGAGACATCAGAGATTTGAAGAGAAAAAATATGGTTTCAAGATTGCCTGAAATTGACATTCTAAATGAAGTATGTGAGGAATGTGTGCAGGAGAAGCAACACAAGAATAGCTTCAACAAGGATGCAGGAAGCAGATCGAAGGCTATTCTTGAAGTCATATACTCTGATGTATGTGGACCAATCCAGGTGGATTCGATGGGAGGTAACAAATACTTTGTTATATTCATAGATGATTTCAGTCGAAAGCTATGGACTTATCTGATCAAGAAGAAAAGTGAAGTGATCGAAGTATTTTTCAAGTTTAATTCTATGGTCGAAAGACAAAGTGGTCGAAAGCTTAAAGTTTTGAGAACTGATGGTGGTGGAGAATATGTGTCGAAAGATTTCGACATGCTATGTGAAAAGGAAGGGATTCTGCATGAGGTGATGCCACCCTATACTCCACAACAAAATGGAATTGCAGAAAGGAAGAATCGAAACATCATGAATATGGTGAGAAGTATGTTGAAAGGCAAGAATTTACCTAAAGAGTTTTGGGGTGAAGTTGTTTCAACTGCAACATACATTTTGAACAGATATCCTACAAAGAAGCTAGAAGAAATTACTCCAGAAGAATGTTGGTCTGGTGTGAAGCCTAGCTTGAGTCATCTGAAGGTATTTGGATCTATTTCACATAGACATGTGCCAGATCAGTTAAGAAGAAAACTTGATGATAAGTCAAGTTAAATGATTCTAGTTGGATATCATTCGACGGAAGACTACAAGTTGTTTGATCCAGCGAAAAAGCAGATTGTAATCAGTAGGGACATAATCATAGATGAGTTTAAAGAATTGGATTGGACTGAAAATGTCAAGAAAGATTAAGTGGGAATCCTATTCGAAGAGCCAGAAACTCAAGTCGAAAGAGAAGTTCGACAAGAGGAACCAGCAGATGTACCAAGTATAAGCAGACCTCAAAGAGCAAGACACATGCCTGCAAGATTGCAAGATTGTGTGATTACATCAAATAATGTGATAGATGATGAAGGTGAGATGGTACATTATGTTTTCTATGCAGATGTCGAACCTGTTAATGCAGCTGAAGCATTGAAGGATTCAAAGTGGGTGAAAGCAATGAACGAAGAAGTGAAGTCTATCGAAGACAATAACACTTGGTCACTTGTCAAATTACCTCAAGGCAAGAAGGTAATTGATGTCAAGTGGGTATATAAAGTGAAAACAAATTCGAAAGGGGAAGTAACTTGACACAAAGCTTGGCTTGTGGCGAAAGGATTTATACAGAAAGAAGGAATAGACTTTGATGAAGTTTTTGCACCTGTTTCTAGGATCGAAACAATCAGGTTGGTTGTTGGTCTAGCAGAAATAAACAGTTGCCACATATGTCAAATGGACGTGAAGTGTGCATTCTTAAATGGACCCTTAGAAGAAGAAGTTTATGTTAAACAACCAGTTGGGTTTGTGAAACATGACGAAGAAAGAAAGGTGTGCAGGCTGCATAGAACCCTGTATGGATTGAAACAAGCTCCAAGGGCTTGGAATAAGAAAATTGATAGTTTCCTAAGGGAGAAGGAATTTGTGAAGTGCACAACTGAACATGGAGTATATGTAAGAAGAAGCAAGAGTAATTTGCTTATACTATGTCTCTATATAGATGATTTGTTGATAACAGGTAGCTGCAAAAGTGAGATCGAAGACTTCAAAGATGATCTCAGCAAGGAATTCGAAATGTCTGATTTGGGTGAGATTTCATATTTCCTTGGTATCAAATTCTACAAGAGCAGTAGAGGTTTGATGATGCATCAAAGAAGATATGCAAGAGAAATTCTCAAGAGATTTGAGATAGAAGAATGCAACCCAACTTCGACACCTGCAGAGCCAAGACTGCAACTGTCGAAAGATACAGATGAAGATGATGTTGATCCAACCCAATACAGAAGACTTATTGGATCATTAAGATATCTTTGTCATACAAGGCCTAACTTAGCATACAGTGTATGTATGGTAAGTAGATTCATGCAAAAGCCAAAGGTATCACGTCTAGCAACAGTGAAGAGGATACTAAGGTATCTCAAATGAACTTTCGATTATGGCATTTTGTTTCCTGCAGTTGATAAAAGAAAAGAATGCAAGTTAGTGGGATACACTGATTCGAGTTGGTGTAGTGATGCTGAAGATCGAAAATCAACAGCAAGATATGTGTTTATGCTAGGTGGTGCACCAGTTTCTTGGAATTCAAGAAAGGAACCAATAGTGGCATTATCATCATGTGAAGCAGAATACATAGTTGCTTCTCTTTGTGCATGTCAAGCAACTTGGATAGTGAACTTGGTCGAAGAGATAACAAGGAAAGATCATGGAGCAATTACCATGAAGATCGACAACATGTCAGCTATTAATTTGGCAAAGAATACAATAGCACATGGTCGAAGTAAGCACATCGAAATGAGGTTCCATTATCTTCTAGAGCAGGTAGCAGATGGGAAGATGAATTTAGAACACTGCAGAACTGAGAATCAGATTGCAGACATCATGACAAAGTCGAAGTATTCACAAAGCTAAGAGCCATGATGAACATAGATAGTTTAGACACAATGAATTAGGTGGTGTGTTAAATTGTAATTTAGTGTGTCGAATCTATGTGTCGAAAAGATTTGATTTGTTTTAGATTTAAATAGATTTGATTTAAGTCTAGAATAGATTTGATTTGATTTAGTAACAAAATAAATATTTTGGGCTCTGGGCTTAGGGTATAAGCTCAGTTATAAATAGAGGGAATAACCCTTATTTTTGTAAGCAAGTCATTCACAGTATTTAGTTGCAAAGTGAATAATAAATTTTTCACAGTTTGTGAGCAGAGAGAAACTCTGCAGAAATTATTTGTCTTGTCTTCTTTTCTTTATTTTTCTCATAACTAATTGTCATTGTGGTAGAAATTCATCATAGACTTTGGTGAGTTTCCAACAAAAATTACTTAGAATCAATTTTAAAAATAGAAATTACAAATTTTAATTTCAAGTAGAATTAAATCTAAATACAGAATCAATTCTATTTTTATTAAACCAAACATCTCAAAATAACTCGAGAGTTATAAAATTGACTTAGCGTGTTCTAAAAGCCAATCCAAAGATATTATCCTTCTCATTGTTATTCACAATAAAAATTGCCACCTCAATACTTCCTCTTACTAAATGCCACCTCTATACTTCCATCCACAGTTTTCTCTCACTCTGATATGTCCTTCCATCAAGCTGTCAGACTGAGATTTTAATCTTTATCTAAGTCTCCTGCTCATGTGTTTGTTTTTATGTTACCTTCTTTATGCAAAATTATGGTTGAGAATGCACATGCACCACATACATTTGTGCAAAATTGTTTGTATTACATTTTGTTTTTGTGTGTAACAAAGAGAGGGAAGAATATTCCAATTATTATATAACAAAATGTTTTACATTTCAATTTACTGAAAGAAAAGAAAAAAGTTACCATATAGTATAAGGTAGAGCCTTTTTATTGTTCCAAAATAAAGAAACAAAAGTAACTTAAAAAGAATCCAAAGAAAAGAAAATTAATATATTACAAATAACATTTATGGCTCAACCAAAGAACAGTGCATATATGACAGATCCAAATCCAATAATGAATACATGAAAATTTGAAGTTATGTGATGTGAATCTGATGAAGAAGGAGCTACTGGAATGTTCCCAAAAGCTGCTTGATAAGAAGGTGCATTTGCATTTGCAGGCAATGAATTAGGACTATTAGCTTCTTCTACATCAACATTTCCAATTCCACCAACAGATATATGAATCTTTTGATTCTTTTGGCAATGACCATTTACTCCACTTGTGAAGTAAAAATCACCATGTGATGATGTTATATTAAACAAAGAGTTACCATTGTTCATAAACAATATTGGATCTTTAATGTTGCAGCTTTTGTAGGATTCTTGTGTCACTTGAATCAATGAATCTTGACTTGGAGGATATAGAAACACTACAAGAAAAATAATGAAGTTAGAAAAATGTAGAAATTGGTGTAAAAAAAAAGAAGGAGATATTGGGATAGATACTTACAAAGTGAGTCTCCAAGGGTGAAGTTGTGAAGTTTGGACCATTTGGTGTAGATTTGTGGATTTGTTGAGGAGGGTAAGCTCCAAGCATTTAGATCTCCAACTTTGTATTGGAAAGAGAAGACTTTGGTTTGGATTTGGAGAAATGTCAAGAGGAGAGAACAAAGAAAGAAGAAGATCTTGTTATGAATGGCCATATTTTTCTTAGATTTAGGACCCCAGCAAGGAGGACTTTTATTGGCTTGAAATCTCGCAGCGCAACTTGAACATTTATAAATGGTTGTTCAATGAAATTGATTGTTGGAATCTATGCTTATATTATATTATTCTTCTCTTTGAAAAAACCAACTATTATTATTATTATTCGACTAAATAATCTCAATTGATAGTTGTGTAGAGATATTTTATCGTAGAAAAGTTAATTTAGCGACATTTATATACAATTTAACTATAGAAAAAAATTTAAAAATGTTTGAGAGATATAGATAGGCATTATTCATTATAAGAGTAGACATATCAAATCATGAATTACAAGATAGGAAAAGAGGTGAGGTAGACAAGTGAAAAAAATATGCTTAATACTTTGCACATGGCCAGCTAGTTTGTTTATAATTGAAGTGGGAAGGGAATGGTCTGTTTTTGTGCGGGGCGACCAAGTTTAGTTAATAACACATCACATGGTAAACAAAATGGAATCATGTGGTTTATTTACTAAAGTGAGGACTATAAATAAACCACAACTCAATGAATATATGTATACATATTATTCGGTTAAAATCCAATTCGTTCCATGTCATGTGGAGTGAATTGAAAAAACGTTAATATAAGCAAAATATTTTCATTTTGAGGCAAACGCTAAATCATAAGACTAATAGATACAATCCATGTCATTTAAAAAATATTAAAAACTTAAAAGAAAAAACAATATTACAATGCCACATCATGTTTTTCTTATTCACTAATTTTTTTAAAGGTTAAAATGAGAGAATCTTTAAACGATAAGGATAAGATTGTTTATGGTATAATTCGTTAAAAAAATTAAATTCAATTGAATAAAAATATTTTAATTTATTTAAAACCAAATCGAATCAAAATTGTTGATTTGGTATATCATTTTGAATTCTGTGTTAAAAGATAATTTTCTCAAACCGAACTATTTGTTGAAGAATTGAATCGTGAAATTAATTTTCAAATTTTTTGTGAAAAAATTAAAACTTATTTTTAATATTATTTAATTTTCAATTTGATTTGTTTGTCATATCTTTTGATTCAATAATTAAACATAAATGTTCGATTATTTTAACTTTAATTTTGTTCGGTTATATATATATATATATATATATATATATATATATATATATATATATATATATATATATATATATATATATATATATATATATATATATATATATATATATATATATATATATATATATATATATATCCTTGACTAATTAATGTAATATTCAGTTATTTAATATTCATTTTTATTAATCTGACTAGAATGGACCGTCACGGCTAGCTCGAGTAGACACTGAATGAGATGGGGGGATACATGTAAGACACTCTGATGCCAAAGTAAGTTGCGGAATAAGCAAGCAAGCGTGAGTTAGAAAGTGTTGAATATCTGACCCTCTCGAAAGAGAGGGTATTTATAGCCCCCAGCGTTAGATCAAGGTGTCTTCATTGGGCTGGTCAAGCAGGCCCAACATAGAGACCGCCAGGACCTACGTGAGTAATGGGGACCCGCACGCGGTCCCCTACCTGGATGACGTCCTCCGCAAGGTCAGGAGGATACGAATGCGATCTTCCCGGGACCACGAAGACTCTGTAATATCCAGAGACGTTGGTAGTTAGCCCTACGAGGAGGATGCTCGAGAGGAGCACCTGCTCGTCATGGGCGATCCCCGCCATACGCGAGGTCGATAGGGGACCAGTCTTGGTCGACGAGCTGGTTGAGGTGTCCTCGAAGCCTTCATGGTCGGAGGTGACCGTCCTCAGTCTACTCGGGGCACTTTCCCCGTGTGGTGGGGTTGTCTCCTCGTGGGGAAAGGGTGGTAGTTGCCTGCCGTGTTCGAGGGTAGAACCGGTCAGTGGTGCAGATTGACACACTTGGATTGGACCTCACTGGGAGTTGGGCCAAGGGCAGGCCCAGTCCAGAACAGGAGCCCCCCAAGTCGTTGCTCCTGATGGAGGAGTCATGACTTAATTCTAGTTTGTCCTTTTGCGAGGTAAGTTGGTCGACACGAAGTTTTTATACCGTGGACGGAGAACATTTTCGGTTCATGATTTTGCTCCGAGCATCGGTCGAAGTGTGTTCGAGGAGGACTCGCGGGGAGAAGATGATACACTTGTCAGACACGTGGTGTGGCTTTTGGGAGCAGTAATGATGACCTAGGGAGTAGGGGGCATGATTGCCTGTACATGTAGGTGTCGAGGAGAAAGGCAGCTTGTGAGCTGCCCGACGCGACGTTTCACATTCAATTCCAGCTCTATAAATAGGGATCCAAGGCTTATAATATATTTTCATATTTTCGCGCTATCCACTTTCTCCGCTGTCAACACCGTGCCTTTTTCCAGAATCCTTGAAATTGCCACACAGTCTGCCGCGTACTCTTCCTCAACCACCGTTGTTCTTCATCTATTCTTCAAGTAAGCGTTCTTTTTTCTTGATATCCTGTGTATAGATAGATTTTAATGATGTTTAGTAGCAGGATTTCGCATCTAGGGGGTTTCGCCCGGGGAATTCATGCGTTTAGGCGTATGATTTATGATTATGCCTGTGATATTCATGCGTTTAGGCGTATGATTTATGATTACGCCCGTGATATTCATCCTTTCGTCAGTACTTAGGTTAGTCTTCCCTGTGATCTCCATGTGTTTGGCTAACAAATTTGTGAACTTGGTCATGAGATTCATAGTTTGCTCGCCATATCCTTCCTGTGCCCGGTATATTTATGAAAAAACAGGCATTCATCGTTAGGATCATTGCATGATCTTAAAGGATCAGCATGATTTTCATGGGCCGGTCGAGGTTCACGTATTTCCCCTTTTTGTGCGAATGATTGTCGACTTGGTCTGGGCCTTGCTTAGCCTCTTCATCTGTGTCGTGGAAAGGTGGATTTTCTGTAGAATTCACTGGTTTCATGTGCTTTGCAGGTAAATGGCCGACACTTCTGAGTCATCAGAGCATATGGACACCGAAGGAACCAGCGCAGCCGAGGAGAGCATCAATCTGGTTGACACGGTCGACGATCCTACTCTGGATTGGGTTGGTGCAGAACCCCGAGGAATAGCCTCAACCTATAGTTACACCGGGAGGCAAGCCTATACGGTCGTCGAGTATAGCGGCGGCCAGGAGGGTTTTCGAAGAAATTTCAAAATCATGAGGCTGACGCAAGACGCTCGCATATGCTCGGAGTTCACCCAGGATGCCTTCCCTGTGTATGAGGTCGTGTTCAAAGACCTTGGACTTCGGCTTCCTTTTAACGACTTCCAGATGGGGGTGTTCAATTATTTGAACTTGGCGCCCTCCCAGCTTCATCCTAACCCGATTGCCTTTATTCGGGCATTCGAACTTAGATGTCAGTTCCTGAGGATCGGGGCGACCATTCCCTTGCTCTTCATGGTTTTTCACTTGCAACGGCAGTCTCAAGGAGGGAAACATAACTGGGTATCCCTTAAACAGTCGAAGAGATTGTTTAGGATGTACATGGATTCTGTCTGGGACTTTAAGGACAAGTGGTATATCTTGCAACCATCTACCCAAACATCCTTGGATTCCTTGTTCGACCCGGCTACCATTGTGGACGAGGATGGGGAGCCGTGCTTGGACGCCGAGGGTAATCCTGAGATTGGGAGAATCTCAAAGTTTCCCATCCACTGGTGCTCGGCCCACTACGACCACGGTCCCGGATATTACCATACTTCCGCCAGCAGTATGAGCGTCGAAGACGAGGAGGCATGTGGCATCCTCAATCGATTCTTCGACAGTTTCTTCCTCTCCAGGGGGGTTACGAGGGAAGGACACGACGTCCTTGATGAAGACAGCGAGCCAACGTTCAAGGCACGTCTGATCAATACCAAGGCGCTCATCGAGTGTCAGTCTTATGGGCAGGTTGTAGATCTCTTAGGTTTCCTACTTACTTTTATTATATTGCTTGCCTTATTTTGTTTCTTTGACGAAGCTGACCCGGACACATTTTCTTTGTTTTTTCAGGTCACATGGCAGAGCGCCGCGAGAGATTTCCTAAGTTGACCCAGGAGAAGAAGAACAAGAGGTTGGTGAAACCGCAGCAAGCTACGCGCATGGGTCCAGCCCTCGAGTCGGTCAGGGAAGGATCTATTGGGTCCTCGGGTTCTCGTGACGTCGAGCGCCAAGTTGTGTTGTTGAGCAAGAAACAAAGTCATCCAGAAGGTGGACATGCTGATGTAACTGATGGAGGGGCGGGTGCCCGGGCCTTCATCCTACCACCCTGCTTCGTGGAAAAAGACTTCTTCGAGGGTTTTCCCTTGACCGTGTCTGATAGCGAGTCTGACATCATCAGGCGGCTCGACAAGGAAGATCTAAGGAAGCACCTCGCTGCCAGCATGGTTGGGGTGGTGAAGATGGCAGAGATGGTCGTTGTTCTGGCGGGCGAAGGGTCAGACTCCTCCGATCGGGTCAAGGAACTGGAGTCGGATAAGGCGACTCTTGTGACAAAAACCCGCAAGCTGAAAACCGCTCTTGAACGAAGCGAGGAGATGTTTCGTGAGCAGTCCGACGTGTCGGCGGGGGAGAAAGAGAGAGTCGAGAAAGCCCTCGAAGAGAAAGACTGCCTCCAGCTCGATAAGGAACGGTTGGAGAGTGATAACCAACGGCTGACGAGGGAGGTTGTAGATTTGAAGGCTGCTATGATTCCCGCGGAGGGTGAGCCGGATGGGGTAGCCGATTTGCGCATGCGTGCCTACTTCATTTCTCAAATTCAACTCCTAGAGTCGGACTGTGTTGACGCCTTGGCCGATGGTTTTAAATTCTCCATGAATAAGCTGTCCGTGCTGAACCCAGGATTAAACACTGAAGGAACCGGGGTTTTGTCCCAAGTGATTGATGGTCGGGTGGTTCCCCCTCCTGACTCTCCCGAGGTTGAAGTGAGTACTCCGGGGAGCGATTAACATTTTTATTTTTTCATCTTATTTGCATTTGGGCCTGTGT